TCTCCTTCCAGCTTCCCCTGGGCTGCCCTGGGATGCCTGCCCTGACCCCCCAGCCCAGCCCCACCAGCAGCTGCTGCCCCTGTTCTCAGGACCTGCCCCTTCCCCTGCTGCTGGCTCTCCCACCCTGAAGGTCCAATGCAGGCCCTGGGAGGCACAGAGCAAGCACTAATTACCGCAGCCCCAGCTGGTGCCTGTGATTACCGCTGTGCTTGGTAATTATGGCCTGTCCCCACTGGGCCAAGCCCTGCCAGTGCTGGCCCAGTTCTCCATTCTCCTCAGCTGGACCCATGGGAGCCGCTGTGCCACCTGTGCCCACAGCCAGCCCAGCAATGCCCAGGCCTGGCCCCAGGGAGGGAAGGGCCCTGAGGAGCCCAGGGGCATCTCCAGCTGCCACAGGGAGTGGGGCTGAGCCCAGCAGCCAGAGGCAGCTCTGCCCTGGTGCAGCCACTGTCTGTGCTGAGCTGGGGCAGCTGTGCTGTCCTGCAAGGGCTTTCAGACTGCCAGGCCCTGCTGGGTCTGGGGACAGCTGGGCCTGGGGAGGAGGGGGCTAAAGGGGGCTGCCTCTCTGCAGGGGGCACAGGAGGGCCTGGGAGTGGCCTAGGGCAGTGCTGAGTGTGTGCGTGTGTATGTGTGTATGTGGGGTGGGGGGAAGGGGGCACAACCATGTGCACATGCACATGCACATGCACTCACACACATGCACACTCACACACACAAGCACACACGCACTCCCAAGAGAGCGCACTCACACAGATACGTGCAAACAAGCACACATGCAAACACACGAACCCAAAGACAAATGCATACACAAGCAAACACACTTGCAAGTAGTCCATCTATTGGCTCCTCTGTGAAATCCTATGAAATATGAACTTTCGTTTCTACCCAGGAGAACTTTCACAATCTTTTCTCCAGTGCCTCATGAAGGGTGTTTGCGCCTGAAAACTTGCAATTAAAGAACTTTTTTTGTTGCAAAAACGTAGTTGGTCTAATACAAGATATTATCTCTACTACGAGTCCCGACTGCGTTTTCCTTCAGACCAATAGGGCTACAATCCGGATACCTGACAACATACACACGTGCGCGCGCACACGCCACCATGCATGAGCACACTCATGCGGTCCCGGCTGCTCGGCGCTGCCCCCTGGCGGCCCCGGAGGGGCGGGGCTTGCAAAAACGTAGTTGGTCTAATACAAGATATTATCTCTACTACGAGTCCCGACTGCGTTTTCCTTCAGACCAATAGGGCTACAATCCGGATACCTGACAACATACACACGTGCGCGCGCACACGCCACCATGCATGAGCACACTCATGCGGTCCCGGCTGCTCGGCGCTGCCCCCTGGCGGCCCCGGAGGGGCGGGGCGGGGCGTGCAGAGGCGGCGGCGCTGCGGGACTCGGTGTCACCTCTCCCGG